CGGGTATCTTGGTCTTGGAGCCATCATCGCATTTTAGTCATTGTCTTCGGGCAGACTCCCTGACTACGCTCTTTTCCTAGGGCGGCTCGCTGGCAGCCGCCGCTCAAAGCTCAATCTTGAGCCGGATGGTGCGCCCTATATAAGCCCTCATTGACTTGCGGGTCAAATATTGCTCCCGATAATCTGGCACCCTTCCTGAGATTTCATGCCTCCCGCGTCTCCCTCAGATTTTGATCAGACCATTCACAATGCCGCTGTGACCCTCCACACGAACCAGGAACGTCGGGAGACCAAGGGCGAAAAGCTCCTCGATACTGCCGGTACATTGCATTTCCGCTCGGTTTTGCAGGCGATCGCTGACTGATCGGTACCTGCAGGCAATACGTACGAAGTTGTCTCCGGTATTTACAATAGCGGGTATGTCACTGCGACGTCCGGTGCCGTCTCGGCTGGGATTGCGCTGCTCCAGCCGGAGCTGGGCAACTTCAAAAGCAACTGCGATATTCTTATGAAGGCTCTGGATGCCGTTGCAAAAATTCATCCATTTGTCACGGGTACGGGCGGGCGATTTGCAGGAGACTCGGGCATTTGCTAACTAGTCTTAGTTGCGGTCTTGGCGTTCAAGGCGGCAGTGACCCTCGAGATGACGCGCAGACAGAACGACAAGCGATGCGTGGCTCTTCATGTCAGCATGTCAGACCTAATGGCCGTCATCGGGCTGTGAGTCGTGCGCTTCTTCGCCGCGCTAGTCCAGCTTAGTCTAACCAATCTACGCCGTCTAGTCTGCGAAGCTTAGCAAAAGACGACTGCGGCTCTGACGGCGTCATGATCGGGGACCGCCTCCGGGATCGGATGCAAGCCATTGCGAAAGACATTGAAACGTGCGCAGCAACTTGCGACAGTTTCGAAAAGAAGAAGCTCATTGGTGTGTTCAGCGGTATTCGAGTTTGGAACAGCGCTGATGGATCTGCCAGTCAGGCTCTTTAAGAGCATCGCTTGGGAAGACAAGCTCGAAGCCTTCGCCACTACATTCGACGGCCACAAGGATGCGCTGCAAAAGGATCTGTCCATGCATAGTGCGTTGGGGATAGAGCGCGCTAATGAGAGGCTCTCCATCGTCGATGCGGTGGTGAAAGCAAGCGGGACGAAGCTGGATATGGTCCTGCTCTTCCGGCAATTGCGATCTCCCGCAGAGCGCGAGCTCTGGAAGTTCGTGGAGAGCAAGGGCGGCCCGGAGAAGTTCCTCCAAGATGACGCGTTGATGAACGAGCTGATTTCACGTACCGAGAAAGATACCACCGAACAGGTGACGTCTGTGAACGAGGTCAAATATGATATCCGGAAGGACTTGGCAGACATTATCAAAGAGAACTTCGAGGTCTCCGAGAACAAATTCCAGGCTCTGCAGGTCAACATCCGCGCACAGATGGGGCAAACCGTTCGACGCGAAGGCGACCGTATCATCGGTACCCTGCTTTCTGGTCCCGCGGACCGGATTATCGACCCCGTAAGTGCTACCCCCGATGCCTTCGTGCTATTATATTCATAGACCGCCGTAGAATGTCTGGGAAATATGGCACGATATGGTGAGCGTCCTCCTGTACGATACGGTTCAAAGCCATTCATCTCGCCACAGGGCTGGAGAAGCAGCGCCAAAGCCAGACATCTGGTTATGGCATTACGGGAGTTCTACGCAGAGCGCTACGCCGACGCGGCAGATGAGGGCGTGGTCACGCTTGCGATTCCAAAGAGCCGAGGGAACACGCCCGTCTCCCCGCTTCTGACAACTATCTTTCAAGCGCCTAGCCGCAAAGCTATCGGTGTTCCGCCTGAGGACCGGTGGACGCTGGACTACATTACTATCCTGCGTATTCAGCCGCTTTTGGAGGCATTCGACGACGACGCTTCGAGCTTTGTGACTGTCAGCGAGGTTAATGCTTTCACGCATGCGAGACCCAGGGGCTGGAGGTACGTGCTACTTCGTGCAGCAGGCGCAAAATAGCTGAGGATTTAAAAAAAGCTTGCCTCATTGGATGGCATACTGGACGATTGGTGCGCAAGCAACGTTGCCTCGAGGACTAGGACTGAAGGTGGCTCATGTCTTGCAGGCTACCCACTATCGATGAAGTATTACCATGACCGGATCCAGCGAATTATCCGCCAAACGGCGGACCTTTCGGACGATATGCTCCCCGAAAACAGGGCAATATATGACAAGTTACATGGTTCTGATATCCTCAGCAACTTCGAATTCATACTGGCCGCGGCGTTCAAGGCCGAAGACCACATCACGTGGGACTCGCAGTTGTTCGACAAGTTCAAGAGCTACGTCATGCAGGAGGAAAAACGCATGAAGGAGACCCTTGAGACCGTCAAGTACAAGATCGATGCTCCGAGCACTCTGACGCTGCTACTCGGCTCGGGACGTCTTGAGAAGGTATGATTACCAACTTGACGAGGCTCGTGGCTGATTGAGGGTTGGCTAGTACCTCCTGCCCCTTATGTATCTGATGTACCACAGGTATCTCGAGCTTTTGACCGTGGGACGCACGGTTGCTCTCCATAGGGATGAGGTGCTCGAGATGCTCAACTCCTCAAAAATGATTAAACAAGCGATTAGAGCTCGATTGGACATTGTAAAAGGTGCAAACCAGACGGCATGTATTTTACGACCTTCTTATTTTCTTTTCAGCTATGTGTAAAATCCAAAACCTGGACATCGGGGACCATCTGAAGAAGTTTGCTTTTGGGCTGGTGAGTACATACGCGGTCTAGATAGCGCTTTGCTAACCATATGAGACGGTAACAGTACTATTACTTCGAATTTTCAAACGATTGGACCAATTCCGACTACTACAGGGTCTACTACCAAGAGTCTTTCGACGGAGAGCCGCCTACAGACGACGAACAACTCGAGACGAACCCCGACAAGGTTCTCCTTAAGGGCCGTCAGAACAACGACATCGACCTGTCCGCGTACAGCGAGCCGTTTGAACCCCGACCCGTGTGCAGGCCTGCCCCGAACTCGTCGGCATTGTGGGATGTCTGCTGGCGCGGTTTCTATATCTCCGACGCGGCTTACTGGCTCCCGATCTTTGGCGGGCACATGGATATCGACTTTCCACCTGCCGACGGGATATTCACTGGGCAAGGCGGTGACGCATTCGTAACGTTCACCATTTTCGGCAAACGAGTTGGGCGGCAGGTCGCCTTCACCAAGACGCATAAAGATGACCGAGCGAAGCAGTTCACGTGGGAAGGCACGCTCAACGACGCTGAAGACGAGCTCAAAGGAATGTATTGCTATGGCCGGCCCGTCGACGATAGCACTACTTTCCCGGTAATCAAGTCCGGCGAGGGTATGGGATCGTTCGAGTT